CAGCAGCATTATTGTCCAATTCTCCATTAAAAGTTGGAAGATCTATTCAATAGAGTCAGAAATCGATTAAACTACATACGCAATTCACAAATGCTTGACAAGGCCAAGCCCTTACACACAGAATTCCCCCTTTTTTCCCTTCTTGAAACAGTGAAAATTAACTCTACATTGAGGACCTGCGTAGTTTTCTTTTACATGAAATTAATTTCCAATACACTCAGCTCCCAGCCCGATTGAATCCACAATTCCTTCTCAAGACGCACATATAATACTAATTTGTGCATTTGTTACGGCGCCTTATTGCGTCTTCAAGATGTGTCAAAGCACTTCATAGAATTTTCTGTAAAGTGAATTGATGTATATTTTGCAGGGCATAAACCAGCTCATTCCCAAATCACAGGCACAGCAGGTACTGGCCACAAGTCAGCAACATACCTTGGGCACAAGTTAAAAGTGTAAAAGCGTGAAAACCACTTAATCTAATCTCAAAGTGGCAGGTGACTTTAAATCAATAAAGCAGGCGACTGGAGGCACTAATGCCCATCATTACTGTCCTTGTTCCTCTCGCTCAAAATAGAAGGCAGGTCCGACAAGGAGCAATGTTGAGGTGAAACAGGGATCTGTAATATCAGTGCATTAGTTGGTAATCCAAAGATGAAAGGGCACATATGACAGCCTGTAACAATCATCATGGACAACTGCCTGTGTGGGCTATAGGGCCCATCAAGGTGAGACTGCAGCCTGTAATTACACACAGATCATTATGGAGGGCTGAGGCACACCCACACAAATACAGCGTCCAAATACTTGCTGAGCTCTATTCTTCCAGGGATTTTTTTTGCGTTGAAAAGTCCAAAGCTTTAATCTAAAGCACAGGTACAACTCAAGACCAAGAGGCACGAATTTTGCTGTCAGAAGCAATGGGTGTTTGGCTAATTTAATATGACTGTTGCAGCGGTCGGTCATTGGTGGATGTATGGTGGATCTATTCGGAGAAGCTGAGCAGGAGGCAACGGGAAAAGTCCTGACTGCCCTCGTTGTTTCCCCTTTTTGATAAAGAAAGCCTAAAAGAGATGCTAAGTTAGTGGAGGTCACTGATCTTTTCCTGCCCGACTCGGAGCAGTTTTGGCTGTGTTGATGACCCACCCACCAGCACACAGACATTCATTGCCTGGCAAGGTACAGGACATTGCGGAGCTACTCACAGCATGTCTGAGCCTCAGGAGGAGAAGAAAATAAAAGAGAAACAGTGGCAGCAGATTCCCGTTTTAAAAGCAGCTCAAATAATCCAGTCTGGAGCAAATCCAGAGCTACCAGAGGAGTTACGAGGAGTCTGATACAATTCTCATCGGTTAAAAAATAATAAATTGGTCACTCGATCCATGACTGTTTGGGGGACACTGCTGTGCGCAATTGGCTGCCGTCTCTCTCCCACAAAATAGAGTCAATTCACTTTACAGTGTATTCTGTGAAGGCGCTTTGAGACGTCTCGAAGACGTGATAAGGCGCTATATCAAAAGCAAGGATTATTATTAAAGCTGGTTATGTTACTCTACTGGGAAAAAATGCAGATCAGTTAAATTCTGCACCTCTTCCCAGGATGAATGACTTAGTGTCACTGCCTGTGCCACTGATACCACCCTGGCTAAACATGGCAATGTTCAGCTTCAGGTCACAGGGTCACTGCGCTCCTTTTATTCTAAATCTGTTCTTCGTGACTGGTATCAGGGGATAGCTGGCATTCTCCAATTTCCAAAGTCCACAAGAGTCCCCTGTTCCCACCCTCCACACCCTCCAGCGGGAGTCCAGCTAAGTCCACCTTTCCCTTTTTTGTTGTTTAATTCAGTCTTTTGAAATGACCAAACCTGAGGAGGAGGTCACTGACCAGTATTGTGTGGCCGGATAAAACTACCCTCTGCAACTCTGAGACATCTCTCTATTCTTCAGTCTTTACACATCACTCTCCTCCATCTGTCCCCTTAGGGAGATTTGTTTTGTGTCTAATTTCTACTCCCTGATCCCAGTAAATAAGCTTGAAGCCCCACACACTGTATAGAAGATAGTATGTTACAATGAAGTCAGGTTAAGAAATACAGAGGAAAAAAAAACAAATGGTTTAATTGTTTTCCAAACACACAGTCTCCCTGGGAAATCTGTGGTAAATGAGGACGGACAGATCAGATCCTGATAAGATATCTATCTTAAGCTGCAATATCCTTTTCCAATTCCAATGAAAATCCACCTTTCCAACAGGTTCCTGATACTCATATCTAAACAAGGCAATATACAATTTGCGTTATACAGGCTCCACACAGTATAGCTCACAGTGTAGCGTAGACGCTGGTTTGTATGTGCAGGACAACACAGACAGGAATGCATTTCACAAGCTGGCTATGTTAGAGGATAAAACAATGAAGGTGTATCACACCCAGCTTGTGCTGCTCCCGGCTCTGTGTTGAGTGAGGTGCTCTCAGGCTGGTGACGGTGGAGGGCGGGGGTAAAGGAAGCATCGGTTAAGCAAAGGGTGAAGTCAGTTCTCATTGTCCCGTGACTGGCTAGAAGGGCGTTTATGTGAAAGTCGGATGTAGACAAGATCAGACGCGCTCTCACGGTCACTTATGCCAACATTCATTGTTTAGACTGATAATTGGGGAGTCCTGTAGTTCAGTGGTTAGAGCACTCGCCTTCGCAAGCGAGGACCTGGGTACGATTCAAGCGTAACCTTGGGTGGTTTATGAATTGGTGAAAAATGTGTGTTAGTTCACTATTTCCTTAATTCTCATAATTCAGTTTCCTTACTGCACACCCATTTACCTCGTAGTAAGTAGGAACTTGGTTATTAGTCGATTGATGGATCATTTTTCCGGGAGTAATAAGCCCTTCAAAACTATAATAATTTGGTCACTCAATCCACGACTGTTTGTGGGACGCTGCTGTGTGCAATTGGCTGCTGGGTTTTGCCAACAAAATATCCAGTCTTCACTTTACAGTATATTCTGTGAAGCGCTTTGAGACGTCTTGAAGATGTGATAAGGCGCTATATCAAATGCAAGGATTATTGTTATTTAATTGAATCATCGTTCGCTTCTAAATTCCTTACTTTTTGCTCAGCGTCCACCATTGCCATTGTCTCGCGTTGTTTTGTGTGAAAACACTTCATAAATGCATGTTCCTCTTCTATCTGCCGATGCTGTTTTATTCCCTATCCCGTACTGGCAAAAATTGAGAAATTAAGAAGTTCAGTGATTGACTTAGCGTCCTCTCCAAGCCCAACAACTCTGGAGCACTGAATGGAAAAGAGATGAAGAAGAGAGAGCCAAAGCTAATAGACGGTAGAAGTCTGTGGACACAGCCAGAGTATCTCCATCCACATGGAAGCTTTAATACTAAGTCACAAAAGGCAGCTGTGAGCAGGATAAAGCTGGACTCATGGTGTTGGTGACCAGCACACCTGCTGAGGTACAGTGCATCTGGAGCAGATTATCCTGCTCTATGAGTAAAGTCATTAAAAGCCTTGAATTGATCATCACTTCCGCTACAAGACTCAGTAGATTAGATATTGATCTTGTTGACCTGCAATAGGCCTCTGCACTTCAGCACTTCTCCACAGTTTTGGCAACTGGTGGGTTAAGCCTTTCAAAATAGAAGACTGGTCAATATACGATTATTTCTAAGCTGTTAGCTCTCCTGGCCTTGGGCTACCTTTCCTGACCTTCTCTGTACCTAACTCCTAATACTACTGAAATTGGGGTCACACTAACTTGGCCCAAAAGACATACGCTTCTGTCAAGAGGATTTGATTTAATGCTTTCACTGTAGTCTGCCTCATGCTGGTATATCACTATTACACTTCAAAAGTTGATTTTAAGTAAAGCGTTTTCAACTTTTTGAAGACCAATCAATAAAGGTAAGCACGTCGGAAAATTCAAATTCTAACTTCTTAAATTTTGTTCAATTTTCTACAGCAAAGAAATTGCAGATTTTCCTCCTTGTGGCTTTTAAAATCACAGTTGTGCTTAAATATCCTGAAACTCCATTTCACCTCAACTGCAGCACACACTCAGAATCCAGACACTGTTCAACAAATAGATGGGTTTGACTTTCAAACACCCACCAAACTGAGCACAGTAAAAATCAGACACAGCAAACAGATTAGGAGTCAAAAATGCACGTTCATATTTTTGCTCCCCAGTTTAAGACCTCTGTCAAATACCACTCCCTGGCATTTCCCTTTGAACACTTGTTACTGATGGAAACAGGAATGACTGAGTCACTCTCTGGTATTCTCTGCCTAACTACGGGCAAATGACTCAAGTGATTTTTGGAAACTCACCACGTCAGTGCAAGGGAATTATGACATGCTAACATGCACTGAAAGGCATGACGCTGGGACTTGATATGTTTTTACTATGTCTATGTTAACATGTCAATTAGTTTGGGGGCATGTATATAGCAATGGTCACTTTCAGTCCTCCCTTCCAAGGCATACGAATAAAATAATAAAAGGTACAGTACATTACTTTACTAAGACACACATCCTTCCCAATTTGCTCCCCAAGAGCCACTGAATGTTTGCTGAGGTGCAGATTCACAGGCACTAGCAGCTTTACATAGCCCAAGTGACCTTTTCACGTGAGCCTGAACAGCACCAGAGGGGTGTGTGTGTGTGGGGGGGGGCGCTACGAGACTGTGACAGGGTGAGAAGCTTACCCTGGCTAACACAAGGACGCTGCCCTGCAATATTTGCATTTTTGCTCAGGTTGGTTTGATGCTGTGGTGGGCAATGCTGTACCCACAGTCACTATGGAGCCACTAAAAAAAAAGACCAATTCTGCTGCTTATCCATTGTGTGATTCTCACTAAAATGAATTCTGGGTTTGATGAAGTAACATTACTTTGGGCATAAATCATCTGGAATACAGATGGCGTGTGGGCAGTCATTTTCCTTTATTTTTTAAATGGAACTGTGTAATCAAACAGACGGTTAAAAAAAAATTATCAGCCTTTTAAATAGCATTTTAATGTACTGTCTTACATGGTTAGTGCTTGTATTAACATACCTCTGTCTGATCTGCGAGCATTTGATATGGACATTCCATACAAGGTAGAAAATGTTTCACTTCCCAAGCGCTAACATTTTGGTGATGACGATATAATTCGAAACAAAACACAATACAGTACAAGCCGGAGCCAGACAAAAGCCATTCATTTCAAATTGATTTTTCAGTGTCAAGAAACAAGATACAGGGAGGAAAAAAAATCCAGTGTAATTTATATTCTTCCCGTAATATGGAAAACCTCCCTTTATTTAAACAGTGTATAGATTCATTGTTATTCAAGCTTTCAAAAGTAGCTACAGTGAATGAATTTATATTGTTTGATGGGAAACTAAATTCTTGATATTTTTCAGCAAAGAAATCTCCTGATCTTCAATATGAAACCGTCCAAAGGTTTATGTAGATACAGTCATTGCACTTTACAGTACATCATTTACCCTTTATATTAAACCCTGTGAAGCGATGCAGGGCATTTTGTTGACACAATGAGGCACTATATCAAATGCAAGAATTTTTATTATTCAGCCTAAATGTTTTTTCTGATCAAGGATCATTAATTGAATCAGCACGATCAAAAATGGTACATTTACAGCCACAGGTCAGAAAGCAAAATTTATCCACAATTTTTTTGCCCGTGCTGAAATGATTAGAACAAATCAAAGCCCGATGTCAGAGTATTTGAGCTTCACCACCATTTAAAGAGGACACAAGGCGGGTACACACGTTTTCTCAGGGTTTTGTGCCCAAAGTGAATCCATATTATTGGAAGTGAAATTAGTACAAGGTTGAAAATACCGGGAGATCTGCACTTAATCTCTACAGAAATTAAAGAAGTTAATTTGTAAATTAAAATGCGTCAGCGAGAGTCAGATGATTAGCATCACGGCTTTAGGCTTTACAATCTTTCTTGCTCTGAAGTCTGTGGTGTTCCCTCAGTCTGTTAAAACAGAATTGGATTTTTAGTCACAACAATAAAATAGAGTGGTTTGAAGGGTTAAAATCCCAAATAGGGCATTTGGTGAGTCACAGAAAAGCTTCTTAATTGCAAATTGAAAGATAAAGCCTCCACAACACTCACCTCACAGCGTTGATCTTAATAAATCCACCTGCATCACATGGGTCATAATCACCCTGGACGTTCATGCTGAAAACAATTAAATAAAAATTAATAATGAGTCCCTCCCTCAAGCTGACAGTATGGCACAGGCACGATAGGCCGAATGGCCTCCTTCTGTGCTGTATTATTCTATGATTTAAGGCCCACCGCCCACATATACCATTTATAATAATGCTTGCATTTGATAAAATGCAAGGATTAATTATATCATTATATAGCTCCTCATCAGGTCGTCACAAAGTCTCAAAGCGCTTCCCAGAATATGGTGTAAAGTGAATTGACTGTAATTTTGTGGGCGAAACGCGGCAGCCAATTGTGCACAGCTTGTGGTGAAGTCTGGCTGGATCCCCGTGTGCTAGGCACGTGAAAAGAAAGGCGGAAATGATGTCCTCGGCAACCTGATGAGCTGGAAGCACAGTCGACAGTCTTTTTTTTTAGCAGAGGCATTACGATGCATAATTATAATTTTATAATTAGTGGTGTCTAATATTTTGCATCCGAAGCACTGTGTTATAATGCCCTGTATTACGCTGCTGTATTGCATAATTAAGAAGTTACTCAAGTTGTCAAAACATGGTCGTTTCTGGTGCAGAACAGTTGCCACGACCCCCTTTCTGTCCCTGTCCTGACAGCAACCACAAACATGCAGCGCCCAGACCAAATCTGATCCAGGCCATGGTGGCGGTACATGTTGAGAGCACCTCGGTAAGAAGGGAGTTCACATCCATAATTCACCCCCCACACGCTGAGTTCCGCCACTAAGGAGACGAAAAATAAGTGGATGAGAGGATCTGTCACTCTCTCACACACTCCAGTGACCAGCTATCAATAGAGGCTGAGAGCAAGGCTTGGTGTGGGCTGCATCTCTGAAGAAAAGAGGAACAAATCATTTTACACCCAGAGAGCAAAGTTCAATTAGAATCATAGAGCACAGAAGGAGGCCATTTGGCTCATCGTGTCCGCGCTGGCTCTTTGAAAGAGCTGCCCAAATTAATCGCCCTGCAAAATTGTCCTTCCCAAATATATCTATCCGCTTCTCTCTTGAAAGTTCTTATCGGATCGGCTTCCACCAGCCTTTCAGGCAATGTATTCCAGATCTGAACAAATCGCTACGTGAGAAAAATTCTCCTCGCCTCTGGTTCTTTTGGCAAAAATTGTAAATTTGTGACAATCTTTGGACAATTTTAGTGTAAAAATACTTGTAAATATCTTTGTCTTAGCACCAATAAAACATCTAAAATCATTTACACTGCAAACCTGCAGGTCTGAGTGTAAAAATTGCAATACACCAGATGGTGATGTCTCCACACCATCTAGCCAGTGCTCAGAGCTGCACGTTTTGTTTACTTAAAAATAAACTTTAACTTCTCCATTGTCTTAGTATTAATACAGAGCGTTTATGAGTAGATTGATGACCTAGGGGAAGTCCCAGGGGAATCTCTACCCTGGGGTAGCTGCTATTTGCTAAATGTTTTTGTATCCGAGTTTCTGTGTCTGCTAATACATCAATCTGTTCCACCCTTGCTATAACGTAGGGTCAACTGCTTCTACACATTCATCAGGATCAATAAGCAGCTCAAATATAATGTGTGTTGACAGCAACATGTCCATGAAACATGCATCACTTTAATTTTACTCCTCAGACTTTTATTGTAGTCTCACTCTGTCGGAAAGCAAGTCTAAAAGCCGCAAAGTATTGACACAGCTTTTCAATGGACAACTTTTGTTCAACCGATTGATTTTTTTTTATTCTTTGACACTCGGAGCTAATAAAATGAAATCTTCCAGTTAAACCACAGGTTTTTTTTTAAATGAAAAATTTAAAGCAGTGGTATCACATACTGGTGATCTGCAGAGCGTGAGATGAATTTGAGGTTTCAATACATTATAAAGTTGCAGTTAAAGAATGGCTGTCAAAAGGAAAGTTAGAGTGCCAAGGACACAGAGATGTTTAAGGCAATTGGCTAACTGAAAGGGACTGAGAATTGTATTATTATATCCAGGAAAGCCATTCACCTGCAACACACAGTGAAATAAAAACTGTATTGCTGCAGATCAGATCAGGTGGTACAACAGTCATTCAGATCATGTCACATGTCAGCCATCACTGTCCTGTCGTGATACTAGTTATAAGAACATGTACAAGCTAAAATCACAATAAAACCACTCTTATTAACTTCACCTTCTTAATATTACACATACACACACACAGAAATACAGACCGAGAGACACAGAAATACAGACCGAGAGACACAGAAATACAGATAGACACACAGATACACAGACAGACAGACACACAGACTAACATACACACAGACAGACAGACACATAGCTAGGATTGGTTCAGTGGAGTAACAACAGTTGGGTTCAGATGATGTTTACAAACAATGAGCAGGAAGCTTGAGTGGTTCATAATTTCCTTTTTTCCCATAATTTCCTTAATTCTCATAATTCATAAATTCCTTACCCCACACCCCTCTATTTGCCTAACAGTATGTGGGAACCCACTTGTTAATCGATTGCTGGATCACTTTTCCGGGGTAATAATCCCTCCCACAAAAATAATAATGTGGTCACTAAACTACGAGTTTGTAGGACACTGCTGTATGCAATTGGCTGCCGTGTTTCACCAACAAAATATAGTCACTACACTTTACACTATATTCTGTAAAACGCTTTTAAACGTATCTAAGACGTAATAATGCGCTATATCCAATGTAAGGTTTATTATTATAATTTATATGCTGGATGTCTGAAATTCCACCTAGCCTTCATCCATGAGACTTTTCTGTCTCAAAATGTTATATTCTGCAGAGTGGAAAGTTCTTAAGTTTTTTTTCATAACAAGGACTGTCTTCTGTGTTAAAAATACCAATTTCACCAATTGTGCCTAACCGTAAATTTTAAGGGTTAAGATTGGGCGAAAGTTAGGCTGAGTACATTATACACTGCGGTTTTATAGCGTTTCTCTGTAATCTGCTACAACTTGTTCCCTGGCAATACTGCAGCAATGATGTTCCAAAAGGAGGTTAATACTCTGATGCATGTCCTGACGCAAACACAGAATCTCTGCTGACAATGATATACTGCACTTAAATGTCTTCTGGAGCTCTCTTAATGCTCGGTTCAGTGGGTTCAAATGCCTTGCCTAGTGTGGCAGAATCATAGACACCAGGCAGGTCCCAGTAGTGACTTCACTGATCTCAGCCTGGGGTCAGCCGCTAACCCACAGAGAAAAAATTGGTGTGTTTGTCTCCCTTGGACTGTTCTGACATGGCTTCTGGTACAATTCTCAGCAGAATTGACAGAGGTCTGGGAGCAGCTTGTTGCCACCTGCCCTCACAGTTGCAGGTGGTGTGTGTAGTCCAGTCAGACTGAGAGACAGGGTTGGGGGGTAGGGGAGGAAAGGAAGAATTAAGGCAGTAAGTACAGTTTAAATAAATAAAACCCTGGTCTCTCATTTTAACGGTCTGCTTTTCTTAATCTCACTCTGTATAGATTTCAAAACACCACAGCAGTTACTGTCTACGTTTTGGCTGATGAATTATTTGCAAGAATAAAAAACAAGCAATTTGGAAGAACTTACAATGGTTCTGGATGTCTCCAGAAATCCGTGCTTTTATTTTTGTGCAGTCGAGTGGGCTATGTGCCGTATAATTACATTACTTTATACCTACTGTGACCAGTCACTTCCACCCTCCTGTATTGCTAACTACTATTCTTTTATTAGTATGATTCCATCATCATTCAAACATTTTAAAGCCACTGATGTAGAAATTGAAAGAGAAAATGCTTTGGATCTGACAGGGAATAAATGCTGCTGATTACTTTTACTTTATTCATTTAGCTCCTTCTCTGAGTGTAAGCCAGAAAGAGGGGATTATTAAGGGTTACTCTGCACACATTTTGATGATAAAAGAGATAAATCAGATGTGGTATTTATCCTACCTGAACTCAATCGATACCTTTTTCACAGGGATAAACACTTTCCTTTTAGTAAGTATTCTCAACCGTAGGAAATAAACTGCACAACACAATTTGGGCACAAAAACAACCATATTTGAAGACAAGAACGGATAATTTTATTGTTTAGGATGGCAAAAAAAAACTGCACAAATCTATATCGATCCACTGAATGTTGTTCAGGGTTATTAATCCATATGTGTTATCATTGATTTTTTTGGAATGGTAATCAGATTAAAATCAATAATGACAATAATGGCAGTGAAATAGCTGCATATGAGATGTAAGCAAATAAACAGAGGAGTTAGTGTGGACCCTATTCCTGAAGAATGTGACCAACTTTAAATTAAGATACTCTATAAATTGTAATGCATTGTGTCCACTGATAAGACATCAAACTCAGTGCTGCAGTGAAGACAAACACTAAAAGCAACAACTCTCAGTATAAGGTTACATAGTGGAGTTATACACTTGTTATAATTGCATAAACTCCCAACGAGGCTTGATAGCTAGTTTCACAGTGCATGTGAGGAGCTGGCCGATGTCAAGACTGATGTGGAACAGGGGAAACGTAATGACTTGGAAGTTTATTTTAGCATGGGAAGCTAAGAATTTTGTGTAAATTGGACCTGGATTCAGGTGTCTGTCCTAAGATCCCACCCACCCTGTCAGGTCATTAGGTCTTTGACATTACTTTGCGCATGTGCAGTGAAACAGGAGGTGATATCAGCAGCGAACTAATGACCACTTCTTGATATATTGTGTTTTCTCTGTTCAGAGTTGTTATCCTGCATTCTGGCCTTGACCATTCACCCAGATCCTTAGCTAAATAGCAGTGAAATAGTGTTTAAGTCGGCTCCATCTTAGTGGATAGCTCACTGAACATTAAAACATAAACCAAGCTTGTTGTGTTACATACCTGACTAGATCTCTGTTGTACAGGGAAGAGGGCGACTCACGACCCAGTATGTAGACATTTCCTTTGTAGACAGACAATTGCACTTTACCCTGCACGTATTCCTGTGATTTGTTGATGCAGTGGCGAACAAATTCACACTCTGGGCTGTCCCAAAACCCTAGCAGGGAAAACAAACAGAATAAATCAGCAAAAAAAGCAAATACATATTGAATAAATATTAATTATGATTATTACAAACTGTAGTCTGATAGGGTTCAGATAACGTTACACATCAGTAGTCTAATTGTGTATAATAGTCATCTGAATTACAAATTCTGTTCCCTCTTCTGGCTTTAGCTTCCACATAGTTGTTCACATTCAGACCATTGAACAATATTGACTGAAGACAATTTTTGCATCAATCGAATCAGATCATAACTGAGTGAGAAATCTCCTACAAAGATTCCTTAACCTGTAACGTCTGATTCTCAACTGTACTGGCTCGCTTTCCCATTACAACAACAACAACAAGATTCCATTTATTGAGCGCCTTTCACGTCGGGAGGACGTCCCAAGGCGCTGTGATGTAAAGATGTAAAGGAATTATAAGTACCCTAAATAATATTTTAGTTCTTTTGAAACTCTTACCTTGTGTGAACATTGTCATATTTACAATAACATTTTAACAATGTGTCCAGTAGATGTGTTTCCCACTAACATTTTCAAGCCCCAAACATGCATTTAGTCAGTACAAGTCATTGTTTGAAGAAATGCTACAAACTTGATTAAAAAAAGGTCTAAAAAAAGGTACCTATAGAAGTTATAGTCTCAGTTCTGTCTATGACTAGAAGGTGTCAGCCTGGCTCAGTCAATAGCACTCTCACTTATGAGTAGGAGGCTCAAGTCCCACGTTGGGACTTGGAACTCACATTGTCTGGGCTGACACTCCAATTTAGTGCTGGGGATGCACTGCATTATCGGAGATGCCGGCCTTGGGTTGAGATGTTAAAGCAAGGCTTTGTCCTATTGAGGTGGATTTTAAAGATCCCAAGATGGTATTTGAATATAGAAGGGAGTTCCTCGTTCCCGGTGTCCTGACCAACAATCCCCCAAATAAAACTGGTCACTCACGTCATGACAAACATGACTGTTTATGGGACATTGCTGTATGCAATTTCTCTGCTGTGATCGCTTACAAAATACAGTCACTGCCCTTTTCAGTAACTCTCTGAACTGCTTTGAGACGTGAAGGGCACTATATCAAATGCCAATATTACAAATAAAACTAGAATTCTTGCAATAATAAGAACAATTACACAATGTACTGGCATATTGAAAGAGTTCACACGCATGTGAAGCTAACTTCATTGCTCTGAAATCATAACCATCCTACCTAACAAGGTCAAAAACAAATTAAGGACAAACTAGAATAGAGCATTTATAAACACTTCAGTGATTTTTTGAAATCAAATATCATTTGTCTTCATTACGACTATTTGTAAACAACATGAGTAAAATATTACTCTTCAAACTTGAAAAACTATTGTGGTTCTATTAATTGCTATATAAATTGCTGCTTTTACCAAAACTACTTTTGAAAAATTGTAGATACCCTTTTTATTTATAAACGTCCACCACAATCAAGCTTTTATTTACTTCAATTTGGTGGGGGGAGGGGGTGGGGTGGCAGGTTTACATCAGGAACATGTTCCACAGGTGGCCAAATGGAGTGATAGCTCATGGCTCAGTGTAGGACTGAGCTACAAAAGGCCACCGAGTTTGGTGACGTTACCCAGGAGAACTAGAAACAATGAGTGCTAAGGCTAGAGGGAGGAGAAAAAACTCATCAGCCTGGCTTCCTGCTCCTAATCACAAAATTATGAGTGTACATCTGCAAGTGAGGCATGATCAGACACTTGCCGACTCTCACGGTCCACTCTCATACGTCAAGAACAGTCACTTGGATGAAGCAGCCAAACACACACAAAATTTCACCCCAGCAAGTCAGACTCTCCGAGAGAGGAGAAAATACTCAGAAAAGATATATAAACATCTTGCAACAATTTCACAAACCCAATGAGTCCCCAGTCATTACAAGCGAAGGCCTCTCGGAAAAGAAAGGGCTGAAAAATGGTTCCTTTCAACTCCCCCAAAGCCCTCCCAACCCTGACAATGAAGTCACAAAGGGCAGTTCAAATTCATCCTGCAAAGTCTTTCAGATGCTGAATGAACAGCTGAACCTATTTTCTACTGGGCCCAGAGTGGCCTCCTGATAGCTTGTTGAACTGTCCCATGAGGGACTCTGCTCAGCTCTGCTACTAAATCTGACTGAATAGTTGAGACATGACCCAGTACTTATCAGGTTTGGAATCAAAGGCCCATATGTTTCATTTTGTAAACCTGCACATTTTCATTGATGTTCACCTTTACCTCCTTTCCCAAATAACATCTCTAATCAGATCTCAAGTGGGCTGTCTCCAATTTCTTCTTTAGCTTTCTCTGCATGAGAAGGGAAGCACATCTGTCTGTTTATGAAGCTCCTACACACCCTGTCAGCCTGTCCTTCAGACCACAATTCCCCTGAGATGCAGACAATGTAATTACTTTTTAGTAACATCGCGGAAACTTCCCACAAAGCCCACTTTATCCCTTGGCGTGATCCATTACCAGCATCTGCCTTCTCTGATCTAATGCTATCTAAAAGAAAGTCAATAACTAGGTAAATATCACCCTGATCTATTTACTTAAAATAAGTTTGTTTTGAAGGAAGCTTTACGCAAGCAACAATAGGTACAGTTGAGAGCTGATATCTGCACAAATGGGACTGCTGCAGATAAGCAAACCGTGCAGATAATTGGACATCACACAAATACAAATTGGCTACAATCCACAAAACAGTCACTACACTTTACAGTATATTCTGTGAAGCCCTTTGAGACATCTCAAAGATGTGATAACGCGCTATATCAAATGCAAGTATCATTATTTTTATAGCAAAGCTTCTTCCATGCTTTACATTATGGTCAGTGTTTGGAAAACGTATATCCGCTGGTTAATAATAATAATCCTTGCATTTGATATAGCGCTTTTTCACATCTTCTAGATGTCTCAAAGCGCTTCACAGAATAAGCTGAAATGACTGTATATTTGTGGGTGAATCGCGGCAGCCAATTGCGCACAGCAGTGTCCCACAAACAGTCGTGGATTGAAAATGACCAATTTGTTATTGTTTTTTTTGATAGCCGTGTGGAGTAAGGAAACTTGCCCAAGGTTTGGCCCTCTGCCTGGAATTGAACCCAGGTACCTCGCTTGCAAAGCGAGTGCTCTAACCACTGAGCTACAGGACTCATGCCTGACATGAAAGTGCTGGACAATCAAGACGGAGCTTGTATATCTGATGTTTTTGACCTGGCATTGCTAGACGTAGAGGGAGTGTTACTGGGTAATTGATATAATTGATGAGTCAGTGCCCGGAAAGCATCAAGTTAAGATAATTAGCAAAGGGATTTTTATTGCCTTTGATACAATATTTTTCAGGTTAGGAAAATGACTCAACGTGCTTCACTGTAAAGTGTATTGATAGTGTATTTGTAGGATAGACAATTTGTGAACATCAATGTCCAAAATGTTGACAAGAATTTTGCTGATTTTACAAAAAAAACACCTAAACCTTAGGTTTCCTGCACTTGTTGCTCTGCAGTTGCTCTGAGTAGCAGATCCCTGACAAATGATTTCCACAGGGAGTAAATTAACCCCAGTCATTATCACACACCTACAAACATTATTCTGCTCCACTCTGCTGTCACTAATGAAGTGCAACAAAGAGGTATTTAGTGTTCGGTAGATAATAAAGGTATGCTGGAGGTTTCCACTCTACTAACCTTTCATATCTCTCCATCAGTCACTTAATCTTTAACCTCTTCCAGTTTTCCAACATCATTTCTCCATTTCTTAGCACATAAGTGAGCTCAATGTATTTTTTAAAACCATGTAAATGTCAAAATACCATAACATCAACAACTGTGGTGTTTATATTAGCGCCCTTCATGCAGGATAGCGTCTTGGAGAGTTTAAAATGTCCAATTTTTTGTGAGGATAGTAGTGTCACTTTGATACAAAATGATATACACAACAAATTGCATTTCTATGATAATAATCCTTATAATAATCCATGCATTTGATATAGTGCCTTATCACGTCTTAGAGATGTCTCAAAACCCTTCACAGAATATACTGTAAAGTGAATTGACTTTGTATTTTATGGGTGAAACGCAGCAGCCAATTGCACACAGCAGTGTCCCACAAACAGTTGCGGACTGAGTGACCAAATTATTAGTTTAAGAAATATTTACAATGTTATTTTTCAAGAGATTATTCCTCCTGGAAAGCGATCTACCAATCAACTAACAACCGGATTCCTACTTACTGCTAGGTAAACAGATGTGTGGAATAAGGAAACTTGCTTAAGGTTTCAACATTTCCAAGAATCGAACCCGGTTCCTCTTGTTTGCGAGGCAAGTGCTCTAACTACTACGTTCCACCGGACTCTATATAGAGCCTTTCATGTAGGAGGATATGAAATACCTATTTTATACTTATTAAACTTTACTCAAACAATACTGTCTAGTTCAAATGCCCCCAGGAAATTAGTAGGATAATGTCCTGTTCTGAACACATTTACATGGGGTGATTGCAATCATATGTAACTGAACATAGCCACATGCAGCACAGCATAGTTGCCAAGGTTGGACTGTGAACAGCGAGTAAAGTGCAATGTGAGGCTGAACATTTGCTAAATTACAACTTAATTCTGTTATCTGGGATTCTGGCTCCCGCTCAGGGCTTCACCTGATAATTCAGGTCAAGATGGACAATCAGTGGGGGAAATCCAGGGTGTTGTTTTGAGCCTTTAAAAAAGCTTAATAAATAAAATATTAAAGTGTTTACGGGCATTCACAGATTCAGGTTTGCCCCATGCAAAATGTGGAGTTTTGCTGAATGGATTTTGCTTGTATAATTAAAGACAGATATATAAACAGTTTAAATTACAAGTGAAAATCTGATTATGTGAAAACAGAACAATTTGTGCTGTGATTAAAGAGGAGTCGTGTGTTTACAGGTGCAAATTATATTCCTTTCATCTTGAAAACAAATCTCTCTCATTGCTGTCCCCTTGTTTTCCTAGGCTCTTGCCATTTCTTTGTACCCAACATCTAAACATTAATAAATTAAATCCCATTAACCCAAAGCTCTTGAAAAGACAATAGGATTAAACACCTGGGCAATACACTAGAAGCAGGATTTACCAGTTTAAATCTGTTTAAAATATTCATTTGAACAAAAGAATGAATTGACAAAAGCCAATAATCCTTGGAGTGAGAGGCAAGTTATGGCAATTAAAGATTTTCATTTAGGATCATCTCTTACGCCATTCTCAGGCCAGGACTCTGGGGTATTTCAAGTCAATTTATTTGGTTTTTTTTAAAAAAAAGGCCAAGGCATGAAGGTGATAGGTGGGAAGTGAAAGTCATTCTGCTAGTCCTGTGGCTCACTTCTATATGGGCTGCTTATGGAGCTTTGCACTGCTGGGAACACAAACATTCAGACTTGAATTTTCAGCTCTATTGAAGTACAGAGTGGAAGCAAGAGACATTTCCCTAAAGGGAGGGTGGAACAGTTGGAGCAGAAACCTAGAAACAAGTCACCTGTCTGCCCTCGCAGCTGGATAGAGTGCACAGTGTGGGAATACTTCAGGAAAAAAATAAGACTTGCTCTAAACAAATCTGTGCATGACTGTAGCATCTTAGCTTGATGATCAGAATTTGACAATCCTAAAGCATTACCAAAACTGATATTACATTAAAGTGACAGAATGTTTACAGCACAGAGTTTACAGCCTGTCAGGTCTGCGCTCACACAAGCTCCACACGTTGCCATCTACTCTATTCCATTCACCTGCTCTTTCCCCAGATCTCTCTCCGATGGAGTGTCCAGGATGAATTTAAGAGAAAAAAATAATAGATCCAGGAGAATTTTATAGTAAAATAAGTTTATGACCTTGTATTTGAGGCTCAGTTGGTATCTCTGCCAGCCAATGTTACTGGACTCAGGCTAACTATCTCCATTACTCAGGTATTGCCTTCTCCATTACTTACCATTGTACAGTTGTTCTGAGAACTTCAGAGACAGGGACTGCTTGATTTTCCTCACTTCCTTGTCCATGGTGAAGGTCTCAATATCCATATGAGCATGAAACAGAATCGTCCCACCTGGGGTCTCGTAGATACCTAACCATTTTCGTAAGAGAAAGAAAAAGAAAAACACCATCAAAAATTATTGCCGAGTGACAAAAATAATCACTTTTCTGACAGAAACCAAGTCGGGCACCATTCAGTCCCAGCTTGCTCTAAAATGCATCTGTCATTATCTGCTCACTGGGACTCAGACAGTCCACTTCACACCTTGCAGTGAAAATTTCCAGATTCCTTGTTCTATCTGCACTCATTCTGACTAAATGACAGGGTTTAAGCGTTGATCTCCCTCAATGTATGCCCAGTGGCCTCCCTGAAAGCCTGTAATTAAACAACTGCCAGTGAGCAGACAGAAACTCAGCTGTGAAAATTAAGCTGTCACTGGGCTCTCAGTTCAGGAGCTCCCCTTTATCTGCTCAAAGGGAAAAATCTGATTAGGTTTGTAAAATACAGCTCTGAGCCGAGATTTCAGAGTCAGTGTAGAATAAGATAAATTGTTAAAATAAAAACAAAAGTATTTTTGATGTTTTCGAATGGTCTCAATGATTTCTTTAACCGGATAGAATAACCAGCAGGCATTTCTGAGTTTATTCAGCCGGCCAGATAATAATAATCATAATAATCCTTGCATTCAATACAGCGCCTTATCATGTCTTTGAGACGTCTCAAAGAGCTACTGCACAGAATATACTGTAAAGTGAATTAACTGTATATTTTGTGGGTGAAAAGCAGCAGCCAATTGCGCACAACAGTGAACCACAAGCAGTCTTGCATTGAGTGACCAATTTTTTTTTAATTTCTTTTTTTTTTTGAATGAATGATTACCCCTGGAAAAACAATTCGCCATGAATACATTTAGAGGATATGCTTAATTTCTCAGGGTCTGACAGAAATTTCCAAACTGGGATGTGTGTGTGTGGAAATGCCGAGGAAAGGCCAGAACACAGAGAAAGTTGCTGCTAGACTGCCATGAAGCCTTTCAGCAACAACTACTACTTTACATGTTGGGAGGGTTTCCCAAGGTGCTGAAATGTCCAAGGTTTGCATCTGAGCTGGGGATAGGAGGGGGTTTACATGAGCAAAAGAACGATGAATGAAGGTGCAGTTAATGAGGAAGGTCTTGAGGCAGATCTTGAAGAAGGGAAAGGAAGGGGGCAAGTACCAAGGACTTCCAGATGGATTTACAGTGAGTGAGGGCAGAGAGGCTGAAAGCCCAAATGCCGATGGTGGGATGGGTAACTATTTACCTAATACTTTCCGGTATTAGATAAACAGGATCCTTCCCTCTAGAGAGAGAGGGAATCTACAGGCACCGTTTTTCCGGTTTAAGGCGCAGTCTGACTAGGCTTGAATTGGGGATACCTGCAGTCCAGTAAACTGGGGGTTTACAGTACTTTTATCTTGCATCTGTGGCTTATGGGAACTTGCATAGGCTCCGTAAAGATTTGTAATAATGGGGTTCAAACTTAAATGGAATTCCATTAATGTAGACCACAGAAGGAAAAGTTAAACGCTATCACGGTTTACTATTGTATATGTTAAGTGCATTTCTCAGCTCTCAAAAATTCAGCAAACTAGATGATGTTCTAGGCATTGCAAGATGTAAAAATCATACCGTATTCTGGTAGATTTAGTATAAAACAATCAACAGTAAAAAAAACTTCAATTTGATAGAACAGTGGGGGGTTCCTTACAGTGTGAGATTATAAACTGATTGTACTGTACAATGCAAATTGGATCCTGTCCTACTATTATGTACAATTGTAAGAGTTACTGGATAACTACTGTGTCTCCTCAAGTGGGGACCTCTTGTGGTTTGAAAGCTTCTATATAATACAAAACAATGGTTTAATAAAAAGGTAATACTTTCATGATAACTGTAGGCTAGTTAAGACAACACAGCAGCGACTAACACTTTTAGATCATTAAATGGGAGGTGTGTGAGGAGCTGAAGCACAGCTTTCTGCAGCTTTTGAAGAATGTCTAGATGATTGGGCTGAGTGGAGAAGCTCTGTGTCGGGTGGCGTTTTTGGCGATGTGCAATTATAAGAGAGAAATTTCATTAAAAAGGTGTCATTGCCAAAGGTGCTACATGCCACGCTGATTGGAATTTCAGCCCAAATATTTTGTAAAGAACTATTTCTTTATTATTGATAAAATAATAGTTTTTAAATGATTTGGTTCTTGTGTCAGGCACCTGCTTCCTCTACGTCGTCATTTGACAGGGAGAGCGAGCTGCTCTGAAGCCTCGATCAATGAAGAGAAAGTAAGAATGGCTCGGGGCTGTTTGCCTTTTGCCTGGAGAAAGCAAGTACCAGGCCTTGATCTAGTGTCACTGAAAGCACAGGCAGATGAGAACTCACAAATGTTTAAGACCGGTGTAGAATAATTTTCTGCAATAAGCATTACGCATGTAGTAGATACAGTGTTGAGGATGAGCCTCTCTCAGTTCCTCTTGTTCTGAAAAGAATAATCCATCCCACATTATTTTAGGGGCAAATGTAGACTGAGTCAAGCTAGCAACTATTCTTGCCTTTGGATTTTTATAATGTTGTTTGCAGGAGAATAACAGCAACCTGCAGTTTATCAAGTCCGCAATAATAAGCTGAGTGCCTACCAGCATGCAGTGAACAGACTATTTGACTTGGTTCTGACAAGCAATTACTTAATTTCTACATGTGTCATCCTTCATTTCCTAATGGAAGTCTAGAATTTACTGTCTTTAGACAGCAATGTAGGAAGATTACTGACTTCCAAAGTTTACTTATCCATCTCGGCTTTTGTTTACCCATCTACAAACTGAATGTCAGATTCACTCAGCACAATAGAGATGGGGGATTGAATTTTAACAGAATAGTGGTTGTTTACACTTGGTTGACTGACAGATGCAGTGACGATAGCTGGAGCTGCTTAAACAATTGCTAATGCTTTGCTCTTGGCATCGTTTCTCCACTAGATATTTAAAAAGAAAAAACGAGTGAGTGTAATTGAATTTGACATTTATTTTACAGTGGAGGATTTATTTTTTCCTCCATTTTGTGCTGCTTACAACCTATGGGGGGTGAAGGGAGATAAATGGTCTCTCCTGGGAGATGAACTGTCTTACTTCCACTAGTCAGTGTACTAACAACAAGATTACATTTGTATAGCGCCTTTGACGTCAGGAGGACATCCCAAGGCGCTGGACAGAGTACAGCATTTCAGATCCGAGCTGGGGTCGGGGGGGGGGGGGTTGGGTTGGGGGACATGGAGCAGGCCGGAGCCGGCTGAGCAGGCGGGTTGGTAGGGGTTAGGATGTCGCAGAGGTAGGGTGGGTCGAGGCCATGGAGAGCTTTGTTGTATCAGTATCTAGAGGACATCAACAACTTGTATTTATACAGCGTCCTTCACGCGAGGTAGCATCCTGGAGCGCTCATCAATTTAAGATAGCAAGTGAACGAGGGGAGAGGAAATAGGAGTTACTGTTTTACAAAGAAAGTTGTTAGGATATGGCATGGGTGAGGGTTGAGGCAAGATCCAGATTGCAACAACTTGCATTTATACCCTTCACAGAATCTTGGAATGCTGATCCATATTAACATTCAAGGAGGAACTAGACATAAATATTTAAAAATAAGTATTTTTTTCTCCCCCCCATAGGTAGAGAAGGAAGCTACATCAGAGGATACTTTTCTTCCCCCATAGGTAGAGAAGGAAGCTACATCACAGGATGAGCCTTCAGCTCATTTGATATCATCCGTCCAGATTATCCACTCTATCATTTTACCATCACAGTTTCGCACCTCACTCAGCACAAAGTACAACCATATAAAAAGCCAGACTTTTTAAAAAAAAATCAGTAACTATTTGAGAATACAATGGGGTTGCAGGTCAAGACTCACCAACATACAGATGAGGTGCTATTGCACTACCATAATTAGCAGAGCTCCAGAAAACCTATCTCAATTTTCATATGAGCCGAAGGAAAATGTTATATTTATGTGCAGTGAAAATAAACTGCAGAGCAAATACAAGCACTGACTTTATGTCCTATAATTTCTACAAATTCTAAGATGCATGGTTTGTTACTTTCTATGATTATATAGTTATTCCTCTCCCCCCAAATCTCCCCCTCTCTCACATACACACACAGTAACAAACTTGAAGCAGCATTCAGTGACAAATTGAAATATTCTTGTGCTTTTGTTTTTAATGCCGCTTTTAATTTGCATTCATTCAAATAAAATCAGTATAAATAACTATTCTTTTCAACAGTAGCCTCAAAATAACAGAAAAGTGGCCACTTCACAAACCTTATTATGGTTGTCAATAATGGGCTTTGATAATCCAGATGTAACACATTCATTGGGGCAATACATAATGTGCCAGATTAATTAATCCTCGTTAAAAGATTGCTGCATCAAGTTTTAAGTGAGCCCGGAGACACAAAACATTTTAATTAGAGCTTTTGTTCAACTGGAACACAATGGCAGAACTCTGCACCTTGAGGTGTAATTTCGATTTATTCACAATTTTTTTTCACCAGGCACAAATCGGGCTGAGAGTACAAAACAAAATAAAGTGAATACAAAATATTTGTTCCTATATGTCAGGCCTGTATAAACAATGGTACAGATGATTAAAATGTTACTAAACAGAGGGACCGAACACAAGAGCCTGATTTCTGACATTGTTTTTTGGTTGTGAATAGAGAAACAATCTGAGAAGAGGTTTAAATGGTCCTGTTTACAGGAGGCTCACGGAGCTAAAACAACAGAAGCTGTTAGTAGCTTCACCTGGCCTGTTCATTCTTCTGATCTGTACTATCAGATTCCCATTTCTACTGCTGGCACCTCTGTATCTTTTGTTTCTATTGCTCCTCCATAGGTTCGAGACAGACCCAAAAGTGAAGGTGGCTACAAGCTGATGCTCTTGGTGATAATAATCCTTGCACTTGATACATCACCTTTCAAAGTGCTTCACAGGATTTACTATGAAGTGAAAGTGGAGTGACTGTGTACATTTACTCTCCAGCTGTACAAGATTCCACTTGTTGGTCGACACCAAGATACGCTATTCACTGGTAGCATGCATTGATGAAGACTGGAACATGTGTGTCAGCCTGGCACATTCGCTCCTCTGAATTGGAAGGTCAAATTCCACGTTGGATGTTAGCGATTCCATGGCAGTATTCAAAAAGAGAAGAGACATTCTTCTGGCCAACATTCCCTCAAATAAGATTGGTTACTCACTCCATGGCTGTTTGTGGGACATTGTTGTGCGAAACTGGCTGCAGCTTTCTCTTCAACCGTGCCTTCAGCTCCCCTTTCGACTCTCTACCCCCTCCTCACTCCTCCCTTCACTCCCCTCCTCGCTCCCTTCCTTCCTTCCCCTTACCCTGACCATTTCCCCCCTGCTCGGGTCCCGACCCAACTGTCCAGCGCCTTGGGAAGTCCTCCCGACGTGAAAGGCGCTCTATAAATGCAATCTTGTTGTTGCAGCGTTTCACTCACAAAATCCGGTCAATCCACTTTACAGTATATCCTGTAAAGCACTTTGAGATGTCTCAGTGACATAAGGTACTATATCAAATGCAAGGATTGTTATTAGTATTAGTATTATTATTATGGCTCTGGGTTTAAGGCTCTGCTCCCTCTACACCACTGATGACAGCCAGCCTGGTTCATTGGCGGGACACACAAGGGCAGACCAGTCACTGGGGACTGGGAATCCTCCCACTCAGCTCCCATTCAATCTTGCAAGTCAAAGTTCTGATGGGTAGGGTGTTCCTCGCTCGACAAGCAGCGGGAACGTTCACCAGTCAGTGCTCTTCTGACCGATTGCCTGTCAGACATCAAGTACTAGATGAGAACTAACTTTTTCCAATTGAATGTTAAAAAGACAGAGGCTTGGCTCCAGTCAACAGCTTTTCCATATCTCCCATTTGTAACTGGGATTATACTGGATTTTGTTTCTGACAATACATTTGACTGTCACAACTACTCTAAGTTTTACAAACATGACTGGCTGTTATGTCAGGTGTGTGGTTGGTATCCAATTAATATACTTAGCAAGGGATGTAAATTATCCTATTAGCTTTGGAGAAGCTTTTACACACAGTTCATTATGGTTTTAACAGCTGCAGTTGATTTTAATTTAGAACTGCTTACGAGTTCTTGCCTTCTTAGGGCCCAGCAGCAAATTCAGATGATTTTGCTTATTCACTTAGTCATATAACAAGTGGCATCGTTCAGCTTTAATTGGGTCCGTTTCCACACATGCCTATGCAGAGCAGTTCAGCGCTGTGTGCAGAAGAGCTCAGGTTAACACTGAATTCTCCACACAAACAATCCTGGGCCTCATAATGTGGAATTTCTCCCAATTCAATTACAAGAGATGAATAAATACTGGAAAAAAATGACACCAAACTGTAGGGGATGGTAACTAATAATATTAAAGAGGATTGAAGTAAGACAAATAGACTTGCAGAATAGGTGGCAGATCAAATTTAATATGGGGAAATAGGAATGGAGTCCTGTAGGTTATTGGTTAGAGCACTCGCCTCGCTAGCGAGAGAATCCAGGTTTGTTTCTCGGGCAGGGTGAAACGTTAGGCAACTTTCCTTACTCCACGCACCTTTGTTTACTTAGCAGTAAGTAAGAACCAAGTTGTTAAGTCGATTAGCGCATCCCTTTTCCCGGGGTAATATTTCCTTTAAAAAATGATTTGGTCACTCATTCCACGACTGTTTGTGGGACACTGCTGTGCGCAATTGACTGCCGTGTTTTGCCTGCAAAATATACAGTCAATTCACTTTACAGTAAATTCTGTGAAGCACTTCGAGACATCTCAATGACGTGATAAAGCACTATATCAAATGCAAGGATCATTTATTATTAGTAGTAATAAAGAAGCTGACCATACCCTGGATAATTGGAACCTGATACTTGTACTTTGAATATCATGGGCTCCAAAGTTTAGGCTGTGATGTAATACCTATCACTGTACAGCTATTTCCACTCTTTTACATTGACTAGTTTTAGCTCCATTAACTTGGCAAGCTATCAAGTATTAGTGTCTTAAACATCAGCAGTACCCCAACGCACACACTGGGATCCACAAGCTGGGCTCTTGCAAACCTGCGCATCATACTGGAGTTGCTCACTGCAGCTTACGCAGCTTGTATAGAGGGGTTTATGTTCAATCCTCAACTTTCCGATAAAGCCTTTCTTCTGGGATCCGACCAAGTTTGCTTTCTTCCTTCTCCACAATTTGCCTGCCTCAATCATTATCTCAACCCAATGACACCGAAACCCTCACCCACACCTTCGTCACCCCCAGACTGGATTTCTTTATCTCCCTGTTTGATGGGTTGCCCAGCTCTATCCTCTCTAGCTTCAGTCACCCAGAACTCTGCAGCCAACATTCTCCTTCATTCTCCTGCTCTGCAGATCCTTCATGTTCATCCACCCCATAATAATAAGAAATTACATTTACATTTCGTCCTTTATTCATGCAATGTTCCAGAGCACTTTAAGGACACAATGCCAGAGACCAAGCAGGGAAGTCACCATGAGTAGGGTTGAAGAGGTAGGATTTTGAAGATGATGAAACAGAAGGATTGAGGGAAGGAGTTCTAGGTGGTGAAGGCATAGTGGCTGAAAGTCTAACTATCGATGGTGGGACAGAGGGGATTGGGGTAAATGGGCAACTGTTCTGAAACATCACCTTTGTGAAAGGAGTAATGTAAATGCAAGCTGGTTTTGGTTAGCTCTGGATTTGATGCACTGGCAGCAGATGTCCCCCTGCATACTCTATCTTGATCAGACTCGCATTGTAAAATTGCGGAGCACACACATGTATCAATATTGTGAGATCATCATGTAAGTATTATTGCGATAACATCCAGACATTTTGGCAGGTCAACAATGACTTAATGCTAAAGTCAGTCCAGGTATACACAAACAATGTGGCACTATTGTAATCCTTATCAAGAAGCATACAAAGAATGGAATTTCATGCAGACGATCTCTGGTAGCAGTATAAAAATCACACAACTCCAGCTTTTAGGATTTGGGAGTGTCCGAGAACCACAACAGAAAAATTAAATTAAATGAAATTGACACTGTGTCATGCAATGCAAACTATTATTTAGGTGCTGTTTAGGTAATGCAAAGACATCATCGTTTCTATGCATCTGGAGAAACAGATCAAGAAACTTACACGATTTTTTAAAAGTTAAACGCAAAGGCTGCACTGAGAACAACAATCGTGTCATTTCTGCCACTTGAGCACTATTCTTTTTGCAGCAGGCAGCATAACCTAATCCCATTATATACTATGGCAGAATGAGTTCAAACAGAGCTGTTTAGAGAAATGATCATCAAGTCGCCAGAAGCTGCTGCCTGAACCTCACCTCGTTTACTTAGCAGGTCAGAATCTCAGTAATGGCAGGAAATGCGTGAAATCCTCCTGCCTCTAAATGTATGTGTTGTTTCTGAATCACAAGTCTTTTTGTGTCTGTGGCCTTTCCCAGTCTCCTGGGGTAGCTGGACTTGGGCAGGCATAGCTCAGCTTGTCCCATACAGAAAACACGCTCTCACTGCATTTGGCAGCAGCAATTCAACTTGTCCAGCACGGTGTTAATGCTACAGGATCACCTCAGCAGGTTTTAGAAAGCATTACACACTAGAATCTCATGTCATTTACAGGATTGCCCCAGAAGCAGAGGCAATGCTGTGAGAAAAGTTGCCTTTTATTCACTTTCAGCTAACGTCAGAGCCAGCTATTTAAAAAGATTAACTCAATCTGAACTGATTCGCACCCATGAGGTCAGATTAAAAAGAGCAACAGGAATTTGTTGCAGGTCAAGTAGGTCAAGGTTTAATACCTAATTTAGAAATTAATCCACTGCTCTAGAATCTGCAAACTAATTTCTCCTGTATGGATCCAAAAGTGAAAACACACCAAGAAAAATATGATAACACTGCTTCATTTCTATTTTGCAATATAGTGGAGAAATACAAATGTGTCCAAATGTTAAAGTGTTCTGAGTAATGGACCAAAGCTGGTGAGAGTATTTTTACAATTCCGCAAACAAGGCCAATTAATGAATCAGTAGAAAATAGGGCTCCTAGCATATTTCTGTGTTTTTTTTCCCCTCAGTGTGAGGCACGGAGAAATTTTCCAGTAAATACAGGAGTCTCTATAGATTAAGGACCACTGAAGATCAATTGGCTATTAGGGGCAAAGAAACCTGCCACTCCTCCATTTCTTACGGAATACCAGGAATAGGGCAGCACAGACAACAGAGCACCAAAACGGATTGAAAAACATTGTTTCAAATAAAACACATCAGGAGTTCCTTACCGCGTGATTTCATGCCAATGAAGCGATTCTCGATTATGTCTATACGTCCAACCCCATGCTTCCCCCTGAAAAAGGCAGAAGACGAATGGTATAGTTCAATTTCCTTTTGAGATGAGTGACTCACCCCCATAAAGGTACAACAGGGCATTAAGTAATTGGCTCAAGTGATGTAGACATTAATATGGTTGAGGTTAAAAAGGGCCAGTCAACTGAGAGACAGCGTGATAAACTCGCACAATGAACATTCTGCCTCATTAAAGGATGTCAAAAAATTTTAGGATGGCTGCACAATTCCAAGGCACACAGCCTGGCACTTTGTCGGGCCCTGAATGGGAGTGAAGTCAGATTAGAATAAAATGAGACTGATCTTTTCACATACGATGAAGGGAGACGTCGAGCGGTGCACAAAGAGGCAATTCTCCAGGTCGACAGCATGTTGCTGGAGCTGTGCGGTATGAGGAGCGGCCGATTAAATCCGGAAGAAGACCTCCAGGGCCGCTACATTCAGAGTACACAGACAAAAATCCATGCAAAATTCTCACAGTCCAATCTGCTATAGGCGGGCACCGAGGACCATCACAGTAGGCCCGGGGAAAAAAATACAGTAAATCCAATCTCATTTATACATGTCTATTCAGCATCACATAAAAAACTCATTGCAATGCAAATCCTGCTTTCATCTTGCTAGCACACAGCACTTATAGTGGCTTTAGAGGAAGAATAGTGACCGAGGAAGTTGACAATTAAAAGTGACAGTAACCAGGAGACAAGATTTTTTTAAAAAAATAAACCTTTTTAACATCACAGCTGTATTCATGCAAGCCTCATTGTGTGTGTGAAGTCATTTCGTCCTATCTTTTAAATAACAGTTTAAAAGGGGATAGAGCAAAGTTTTATACCATTGTTCCATTTTGTTCCAATACAACACATAATTGCTATGTCACGCATTCTTCAAAAAACAAAACAAAACAAAAAACTAATATCTAAACAAAACACATAAAGAGCTGATGCTTGTTTCATTTAACACTGCGGATCCCTCTTTTCCCAGGCCTTTTATCCTTTGAAAGGCCGAGCCTACCTTAAAAGCTATACAGTTTCAAAAGAAATTGTTGCAGAATTCAATGCTTCATTTACCATTTTTATTTTATAATAACAATCATTTTTTGGATGTCATTTTATAATAAAGTGGATAATCTTTAAAATAAAACCAAATAACCATGAATTGCTGTTATTAACATTCTATTTAAGAGAGTCACAATTTGTTTGTCAGATGGGTATCTGACATTTCTCCCACAAAAATATGCAGTCTTTACAGTAGATTATGTGAAGTGCATTGAGATGTCTCGAAGACATAAGGTGCTATATCAAATGCAAGGATTAATATTATTTATATAGAAACCCATCACTGTGCTTTCTATATCAACACCAAATTAGACATATACACAGTTCTTCTATTAGGATAAGTAAATAACCACTGATCACATTTCCTGCGTCAGAATTCTATCTAGCTACTCTCATCGGAAGAGAGCTTGTGTGAACCTTAGGTGATGTCAGAGCTAAATTTTGCTCTGATCACATTGGAAGACAGCTGAACATACCTGAGCACAAGAAACCATCTTCAGGAAAGAAGGGATAAAAAAATAAATTGGAGACCCAATAATTGAAAAAACTAGTTGTTGAAAAATATAGTGGCAGGTCACTGTTAGAACATGGGTATCGCTTAATATTAGTGAGTCGACTGACTACTTTACATTATGCTTATGTGCCTTTATTAATGAGTTGGGATTTAAAAGATTAAAAATAGTGAGTAGGTGAGTTGTTCTCAGTGCTGAGGTACCACCCACAAGGCAAGGTTCTACTATATTCAAAGAATGCAGAAATAACATAACAACAACAATAATCCTTGCATCACTCCTGTCGACTCTCACACTCCGCGGCTCAGGTGCCCAGCAACGTTGAGTGCTTTGAGATGTCCTTGATATATAAACATAAATTGTATTGCATTTGAAATAGTGCTGCCTTTCATGTCATTAGGAGGTCTTAAACTACGTCCCAGGATTCACTGTAAAGTGCGGACACTGTGTGTTTGTAGACAAATAGTGTGCTGGTGGGGCGAGAGTGCTACCAACTGAGCCAGGCTGACACATAATCTGTAAATCCAATGCTTTCACAGCACAAGTAATGATAGACTTGCCATAATTCTGCAATGCATCTTGCTACAATATCCATTGGAAATGCAGCTTTTCTTTTGCAAAAAACATCAATGAATGGGAATTTATTTCTGATACTTAGCTTTCAGTATCAAACAAACATTTTGTATGTACAATAAATCCCTCAAAACAAAGCTAGTGAGATTTCTGCTGGCTTCCCAGAGCGTGAATTATAAACATTTATCTTCAGATTCATAGGGCTGTGCAAGACGAAAGAAAGCTCCAGTTTGATGTGAAGAGAAATATGCTGAGTTGGAGATAAAAGTTTAGAATGTTCTTACCCAATTTTATTGAGGTATAGGAACAATTCAAGGGCTGAGTCACAAGTGGTCTTGTCATGGATGTTGGTGACTTTGACAGGGACACCTGCATCAGATCAAAAAAAAGGAAAGCATTTGAAGGCAAAAGGTCTCTAAATTCATGGATGGTGCATTAAATGGGGCTGACATATGAAATATGAATACACCCTGGCAACTAAGAGCACCGTGGGCCTTGGCTGAGGAAGCTGCACGAAGGGACATAAAAACTCCTTTCTTTCTGTCCGTGAAATTGTGGCCAGGCCCTTTACTAATTAAATTTCACACTTCAGCATTGTGTAAGCCACAGCACCTTCTGTCCCACCAGTACCTCATGCAGGCTGGACAAATGAGCGAATAGAATGGTTTTTTTCAGGCTGATAAACGGAGGGGAGCGCACACCACACAGTCGGCAGGCACACATGCTCCACATTATCCTGCCCTACAAAGGTGAATGTCTGTAATAGTCCATCAAGGGGAATAACCCCATGAATTAATCATTGCCCAAAACAGGCAAAAAAGGAGATGTCATTGGCCTTCTTATTAGCTGCACGAAATGAGCAATAAATGAAACAGGAAGCAGTCGGGGGTGTGGAAGGAGGAGAAGCAGAAAGCCAGTCTCTAATCTCCTGCACATCCATCTGTCTCCCTTATTAGCATTTAGCACAGCAATCAGTTGCCAATCAGAGTAAAATAGCCTTTTTAGCCTTTTCTCTATAAAATGTAAGCTCCACATTAATGATTACTAAGCCACGACAAATTTTTGCGCCTGTTGTATTGTCTGCACTCAGCCTCGCGAGCATCAACATAGTCATCCTGTTGTCCAAAAAGCTACTTAGTCTGAAAATAGTTAATAATTAGATTAAAACTTCAAATAAATTAACTCTTAGATGAATAGTTATAGCAGGGGGGCTTAGTCCATTACAGCCATTAAAATGTATTAGGTTTTGAGGCATTTATTCCTAGACACAAAAGACGTTAACATAATAGTGCTGTAGAAAAAGCATTGCACTGCCTCTGTGAAATAAAACACAATATAAAGCAGTGTTAAAAGGAAAAAAGTTTAACACTGCTGAGAGGCATTTCTGTTTGTGTTTCACATTAAGAGCAATGTTAAGCATCGCAAAACAGCATATTTTGAAGCAGAAAAACTTTTAACTACAGTTTTTACCGTAAGGACAGGTTTACTGTTTAGAAAATAATTCCATCATAGCAAAAAAAGAAATAAATCTTAATTTTTTTTATTGTTACTATCGGAGTCCTGTGGCTTAGTGGTTTGAGCACTCGCCTCGCAAGCGAGAGGACTTCGATTTGATTCCCGGGCAGGGCAAAATGTTGGGCAAGTTTCCTTTACTCCAGATGCCCCTGTTTACCTAGCAGTAAGTAAAACTCGTTTGTTGGTCCATTGGCGGATTGCTTTGACGCGGGTAATAATTCCTTCAAAATAAATAAAAATACTTTGGTCACTCAATCCACGACTGTTTGTGGGACACTGCTGTGTGCAATTGGCTGCAGCAGTTCGCCCACAAAATATACAGTCAATTAACTTTACAGTATATGCTGTGAAGTGCTTTGAGACGTCACGAAGACGTGATAAGGCGCTAAATCAAATGAAAGGATTATAATTATTATTCTGTTTCAACCTTGTTTCTCCGGCTGTTGCACCAGTGAAAGTTCCTTAGTGTCTCAGCCTCCTGTCCAAACAGGCAGCTTGTGCCCACATCACAAATGAAGGCACCAGTGCTCTGACACACTGACAAGAGGCACACTGCTGCAGAGCGATTGCTTTAGTTACCACCTTGTGATGGGTTAGATTCCAACATTACACAAAGTCCAAACACCATGCATTTTGATAAGCAACAATCTTCAAAAAAAATTTAAATTTAAAAATTTTTCTAAACTTTTTAAAAAAACACAGCAATGTCACGATGCTCAAATGCTCGTTTCCTTTTCAAGCTAGTCCAATCCACGTTCAAAAGGATAGGGAATCTATCAACAAAAGAGTCCGACTTAAGAAGAAAGCCCTCACTGTCCCCAATTCCAGATCTGAGTTCGAGAGTGGGGAAAGAGAATGGACACTCCCTCCCCCCCACTTTTTCATGCCCAGTGAACACAGGTGCAGGATGACTGAAGCTAAGGCACTAGGGATCCTGAAAATGCACACAAAACATTGGCATCCACTACAACACTTAGATATTGATATGGATCAACAATGTAAACAGATATCCCAGGATCTTCCAATCAATATCTTTAAATCTCTGGAGTTACATCAACCAGAATACTGCACTAGGGCACTGAATCACCCACCCACCACTTCATTCCAAAGTATCCGATTGTTGTAGATATTATATGCATTACACAACAACAACTTGCACTTACATAGCGCCTCCCAATTTCCCTCCCAATGTCATTCAAACTATTGTTAATGAAAGCATCAAGCAAGATGGGTCTCAAAAGGCAAAATCTTGCCTCACTTGTTTTTTGAAACACATAAGTTTGGTGATTCTCCTCCACCCCACAATTGACCCATAAGTGGATCTTAAAGCTAGATTAAACACCTCAAATGTGATCCAGGATTTAGTCAGCACCCTAATATCTCCCAATGTCTTCACCAGATCAATATGAAGCAATGATCAAAGGCATTCTCATATAAAACCACAAGCTGCCCGCATGAATGAATGCCAAGCTGTTGCTTCCTGACCAAACAATTGGTGTTGAGTGCAACTGGGGAAGACTGCATCGATAGGGTAGAGCAAATCCTTGCTTATAGCAATTCTAACATTTGTTCCAACACTTCCTTTTGCCGTGTCAACTCCGCCCAGAAATATGCACCTACCATTTTTGAACTCAATCTCCAAGGTGTCAGGAGTGTTGGGAGCCTTGTCTGGGTCTGTTGTCATCTGGTACATGCCTGCTGGTGCTTGGTTCTTGTTATTAAAAAAAGAAAATTAAGAATTATTAACTGACAATGATAATACATTAAAAATGACTTTTTGGACAGAACGTGAAGCATACAGTATATACATGTCAACTTTCTAATGTTTTATCCTCTTCCTTTTCTCAGCTCCATAAGCACTGAGATAAAATAATGATTATTTTGCAATATTTAATATAGTGCCTTATCACATCAAAACATCCCACAGAATTTCTCAGATTTTTTTCCTGCAAAGTATAATGACTCTATAGAGTTCTGTTCCTCAGCCCTTATCAGTGCAAATCTCAGATTATTTGCTCAATAGGAGCAGATTAATCTGTCTACTGACATTCCTATTTGCTCTCTGTTATCACCCCTCCTTAACTCCTTTGGGGCGGGAGTGGGGGGAGGGGGAGGTTTGCAGGGGATAGTAGAGAGTAAATACCATGCCATGATACACCTGGGTTTGTTTTTACTCATCCTAAAACTATGGATACCAAACTATCATACATCATTTACACACAACTCATCTCTGACAGGGAGAAATGATTGCTGCCCCCCCCACCCCACCATTACATCCTCAGATATTTTCTCCAACAAACATTGAACAGACATTGGATCCAAATAAGTAGTAAATCTCCTGATCTTTAACAATCCTCAACTTGATGAGAAAGACAATTAGAAGAACAGCATTTGGTTGCAGTTTGTTCAGATCAATACGTTTTATCAAAGGACAAAGGATTTACATGTGTAAGACTTTACCAACAAACTCATTTTTAGATAAAGCAAAACTTGCAGTGAGACCATTTAGATTAATAGAATCACATTTGCACACTAAATTGTGGAAAAGTATTCTAAATCCTTATGACAGATATCCCTCAGCTTGATAAGCACAAAAAAACACTGATTTCTTACCTAAACAGCTCAATGCAACAAAAGATTTGATTATCTTTTTATATTAAAAAATTAAATTGATAAAAAAGTTTCCTGTGGTTTTATTTTTTTAAACTTAAAATTTGTGCCAAAGTAATAAATAATTTTCTCAGCAGAATGATTTGGGTTTGCTAATTTCCTCGCCTCTTTTGGTGATTCTTACTCTTGCTGAACACCCTTTGGGAGAGATAGTAAACAGGAGCCAAATACCAATTGACATTTTTTCCTTTAGTCTAAGGGGCGCTGAGGAGAAATCTAACTAACAGCTGCCCTGGTTGAAATCAGCTCATTTACTACAAACTAGGATTTAAATCCATGGCTTTGTGTGGCTTAGTGCTCCACAAGACGGTTCCTTTACCTTATAACACCATCGAGGGAACTTTAAAAAAAATAAATTACTGAAAGGCGTGTGGGACAATATAAATGTCACAGTGACTGTGGGGCCATTGCAGTCTTAAAACAGTTTTTGCAGGGACGAGAACAAGGTTTAAAACACATTTTCGGTGAGATTAATAATTTATTTTAAATAAGACTTCGATCATCAGCAAAATATAAAACATATTGGTTTGCAGACAACTTTGTCCTTTGGTAATGCAAAAGGGTCAAGCTAAAAATATCCACCTGATTCAAAGGAATTTTAAAAACAAAATCCTAGAGAAAATAATTCCCCCTCTTCAAAACCTGTGCCTTGTGCAGGTATTAAAGGCTACAAAAATGTCTTCTTTCCCCTCAAGTTAATTTCATCTCATCCTTTGACATGTTCTCAGCTGGAGTCAGAGTAGTCTTAGAGGAATAAGTCAAGCAAAAACCAAAGCCCGCAGTTGATATAAAATTCAAGTTGATTTGGTATTGAATGAAAACCAATGCAAATCTACGACCTTGGCAGATGTCTGACCACCACACACTATTAAAAAAAATGGGCATCTCGCGTGACTGCAGTTAATACAGCCCACAAGACAGCTCAAGACGAAGCTATTTAGAAACAATTCTGTGTCAATAGATAGAAAGTTTTATTTAAGGCACTGGCATCAATCACAGCTTGGAGGAGGGACACTCCATTAAAAAAAACCTTTTAATAGTCTATCTAAATGGAAACAATCACCAGGACACATTGTGTGAAACATTCACAGCTAACTTTAAATGCCTCTCATTAGTGAACAGTATAAGTTAAGTAAACTGGGGACAGGAAAAGGAAGACAATAAATTGGGGAACTAACTAGTGATAAAATGTTAAGAAACACATTTATTTTCCGAATTTGTTTAATAACTAAAAGTCATTTTTGTGAAATAAGTTTACAATTAGNAAAAAAACTATTACAATGTTTAAACTAAATTTACNAAAAAAACCTAAACATAATTTCATGGTTACTGGTTTAAAATAACAATCCATTCAGTCCCATTTGCCTGTCCTTACATCATTAGCCTGTCTTATGGATCGAATAATAAAAATAATAATCCTTGCATCTGATATAGCACATTTTCATGACTTCAAATGTCTCAAGGCGCTTCACAGAATATACTGTAACATGAATAGATTATATTTTTGTTGCCGAAATGCAGCGCACATCAGTGTCCTACAAACAATTGTGGATTGAGTGACCAAATTATTATTATTATTAAACAAAAACAATTTTTTGAACAGATTATTACCCCCGGACAAGCAATCGACTAACAACCAGGTTCCTATTTAGTGCTAGATAAACAGAGGGATGTGGAGTAAGAAAACTTGCCCAACGTTTCGTCCTGCCTGGGAATCAAACCAGGGTCCTTTCGCTTGTGAGGTGGGTGCCCTAACCACTAAGCTACAGGATTCCACAAACAACCCTATATTTAGGAATGAAGTCTTAAGAAAATACTAAGAGTGTCCTTTTTGACAGAATCAATTTAATATGACTATGTTGATTATTTTTAAAAGGCTTTTGAAAAGGAACATTAACTTCAAGAGTCAACATCAATGTGAATACAATGTAAAGAGCAAGCTGAAGAGTGTTGTCATCAGGCATTGCCTGTTTGGGAAAAATAAAGTTACTAACAAAAGCAAAATTCAAAAGATCTGAAGAAGTGACTTGGGAGCTGAACGATGACTACATCTCCCGTCAGTCTGCCGAGACACACGATTTGTTAACCTCAGAGTTGTAATAATAATAATCCTTGCATTTGCATTTTCACGTCGGAAGGACGTCCCAAAGCGCTTCACAGAATAGACTGTAAAGTGAATTGACTATATATTTGTGGGCAAACGCGGCAGCCAATTGCGCACAGCAATGTCCCACAAACAGTCGTAGATTGAAATGACCAATTTATTATTGTTTTTGGTTTTTGGAGGGATTATTATTAGGCTCTGTGTGGAGTAAGGAAACTTGCCCAAGGTTTCGCCCTCTGCCTGGAATTGAACTCAGGTCTCTCACTTGCAAAGCGAGTGCTCTAACCATTGAGCTACAGGACTCCACGTCCTGTAAAGGTGTTTGCCAACTTCTTTGCACATTACCAAAACGAGCTCCCTTGCCCACTTCACAAGAGGTCAATAAATTTCCCTTTCTGCAAACGCTTGTAATGAAATATCTGTTTCTTTTTCAGGAAAAAAATGTTTTAAGTTGCTGTGTGATAGGCAAACTGGCCAATGGTCCAGCCTAAGCATTTGTTAAAATCTTCATAAACTGGATGATGGTGGTAACCCAGAGATAAAGTACCAACACACAGTGCCCCAGAGTGGCAACTTCCACCTCCCATTTGCTAAGTTGCTGACTTCATTAAGAGAGTGGGAATGTAGAGGCCCCCTACACATCAGCAGTGAACCTACAGGGAGCGATGTCAGCGCTGACCTGACGAGCAATCTTTAGTCCATGCTAAACTAGATGTACACAGTGCAGCAGTGCTAAACCAGGGCAGGTGATAACATGGGTGACTGCCTGCAAGAACACAGTCACTACACTTCACAGCAAAATCTTGAAGCAATTTGAGGCATTGACAATGTTATCCATCGCTTTATCAAACACAAGTATTGTTATTAGATTAGTTAGTGGTGAATGAAATTCTCATCAAACTAAACGGGCGACATTTAGACTCCTGCAATTTTCAAACAGAAAGACTCTGCCTGGATCACTGACTACACTGAGACTTTTCCCTACTAAAACTAGAAATAATCACACAGTAAGAATATAGATTACTATTATTCAGTTTTATAGCATACAAATTCATTCCAAAGTCGCACATTGTAAATGTATCACACTAGCCATTTATAAAAGTACTACATTTCATAATCAAAAAGAGTGGATTAAAAATCTGTGGAATTAAACGTAAGATACTACCCACCATAATACTTTTACAATAGATCAAACCGTATACATGCAATCACTGCCATACTATCGTGGAGTCCTGTAGCTCAGTGGTTAGAGCACTCGCTTTGTAAGTGAGAGACCTGAGTTCAATTCCAGGCAGAGGGCGAAACCTTGGGCAAGTTTCCTTACTCCACACAGAGCCTAATAATAATCCCTCCAAAAAACCAAAAACAATAATTAAATTGGTCATTTTCAATCTACGACTGTTTGTGGGACATTGCTGTGCGCAATTGGCTGCCGCGTTCGCCCACAAATATACAGTCAATTCACTTTACAGTGTGTTCTGTGAAGCGCTTTGGGACGTCCTTCCGACGTGAAAAGCGCTATATCAAATGCAAGGATTATTATTATTATTATTATCGTTTTACCTCTAAGAATTCACTGACTGATGGAATCAAAATCTCCTCTGCAGGTTTATGCAAAAAGGATTTAAGATGATCTCTTCAGATTCTAACAAGCATGACACCAAAGCACAAAACTGCCCACAAATTGGTACTAAAAGATGCTCGATTAGAACATTTAAATATTTATACTTGTGTCCTCTCGTGAGCACATTGCTTGATCATAATAATCAGAATAGAGAGCTTTACTCTACATGTAATCGTGCTACACCTGACCTTACAGTACTCAATGCTGACACTCACTCCAATAATTGAAGTTTCTTTTTCTGTCAGACATGATCAGTCATTCCTTTCCCTTAAAAACACAAAGATTTTAAAATTCAGGCTTCAGATATAAGAAT